CCGGCACCACTACGCTGATTCATATCCTGCCCCCGCTGCTTTTAAGGGGCCTTTTTATGCCAGCTCCCCTGGTCTGCAGCCCTCCCCCTTTAGGCGTCTGGGGGGTGATTTCCAGGGCAGTGGGGAGCTTGATGCCCCCATCAGGGCTGCCTGCTGGCTCTAGCACCCCACCCAAAGGGCAGTGGTTCACCCTTCACTCCTGCATGGGCAAGTTGTAAGAGACCCCCCCCTCCCCTGAAAATGTGGGATGCTCCAAACTGGGGGTGGCTCTGTCCCTTCCAAGCTTATAATTGGCTGCACTGAGCACCCCTTTAAGCAACAGGGCAAACAGGTGGCACCGCACTGCTGCCGATATGCACGGCAAAGGTCTCTTTTTGCTGTTAGGCAAGAGCCACAAACCCCCTCTGGATGCACAGAGGCAGCCGGCAAGATCTGTCCCTTCCCACAATGCCCCTCTGGCCGTGGGGAGCCAACCTGCATTGCCCTACTAGGATGTGGCAGACAGGCAGACCTCCCTGGGGTGAAGAGGCCAAGCAGGTGTGGTTAGCAACACTGTTTGCCATTCCGGGTGACTCCAAGATGCCTCCTTGCCCCTGGAGCCCAGGGATTCCAGAAGGCAGAAGGAGGTCCAGGGTCTGTTGAGAAGAGCAGGAAGGCTCTCTCCGGGTGGCGCTGCGCCAGCGTAACTGCCGTGGCTTGCAGCCCGGGCTGTGTGATGCTGTGGCACTCTTGCCGGGTTCCAGAAGGCCTCTTTCTGGATGACGGATTGACGGGGAGGTCAGCCTTAAATATTGATTATTGCTAATAATGTTATTTATGTTTCCAGTGAGAACTCACCAGCCAGAGAACCCACAGGCCTGTCTCTAGACTGGATTTCCGCTGGAAAGCAATTCATGGGCACGCACCTGCTTTCGGGTCATCCAGGGACTCGGTGGGGGAGCAGTTTTTGTAAACAAAGTGGGGGGGGACACCCCCTCCCTAGATTAAGAGTAACTCTCAAATCCTGGCAGATGCTGGGGGGACTAAAGACCCCCTGCCTGGGTTTTCTTTCTTTCTTTCTTTCTTTCTTTCTTTCTTTCTTTCTTTCTTTCTTTCTTTCTTTCTTTCTTTCTTTCTTTCTTTCTTTCTTTCTTTCTTTCTTTGCCATTCAGACACAGATTTAAAAGGGGGGGTCCTGGCACAGTGGGGTGTGTGTGTGGAGGGTGTAACGCCCTCTCCTTGCCCAGGTGTCCGTTCCACGGTTGCCCACCCCAAGCAGCTCTTTGCCGGCTGGAGAAAGCTCCCTGCAGTCCCCGGCTTGGAGTACTGAGAGCAAAAGATCCCGAAGAATGAACCCACCGCTCCTGGAAAAGAGAACTCCATGGCAAGGGCGGGGGGAAGTTTGGAAGCTGCCCGGCTGGCAGCTGAGAAACTCTAGAAACCTTTGCCCAGAACGGTGCCTCCTGGGCATGTTCACGTGGGCTGATATCCTCCCAGCTGCTGGCTGCTGAGGCAGATGTTAGCAGTAATTGCCGCCCCCTCCCAGATGGGAGAGAGAACACCCTGACATCTGGGGGACAGCCGGTCTCTTCCGGGGATCCCTGCCTGGGATTTCTTCTCTCAAGAGACTTACACGGAAAAGTCTGGAGTTACTTCAGAGCAGCAGCCCAGTAACAACGAGAACACTTTCCCCCTTTCTCACTGTGGGGCAGAGCACCGACTCCTGACTGCTCCAGCTCGACCCAGAGAAGGAGGAGAGCAGGAAGCTCTGCACAGTCTCCATCCTCTTCTGCTCCTGGGCATGGACTCAACTGGCCTTCGCCCGAGGGAGAAGGGCATGACACGCCCAGGGAGGCCTCTGCAAAGAGAGACGGCCACACAACTGTTTTTGGCACCGGAAACACCCTGTCCCTTGTGCCTCTTTTCCACATGGCCTCCAGGACACGTAGCCAAATGAGACAAGGAAAAGGGGAACCCAGCAAGGACAGCCTTCCCGGCTCAGGGGAGCTGGCATGCAAAGGCAGGGAGGGAGGAAGTCTTGGAGCCAGGAAGCTGGGTGGCAAAGAGAGGCCTCCTTACACCTCCCCCGGCCTCTCTGGGGACCCTCCGAAGGACCCTGCAAGGAGCCCAGTTTCCTCTGGGCCCCCGAAAGGGATTCCTGCGCTCGCCTCCACAAAGTGAGTAAGAAGCCCTCGGACCCAGGCGTCCAGCATCACAGTGGAACATCTGGCCCCAAGTTCTCAGTGGTACTCCCGTTTGATTTCCTGGTGCTTCTTTGTGGGCATGATCTTACCATTTCTCTTAGCGGTATTAATTATGAAAGAGTTCCTTCTGGAAATGATTCGAGGGGAGAGAATGGAAACAGGCATTTTCCCTACAGCAGCTGCAAGAAGCTCAGAGTCTTTTGTTTGCTCTTCAGGCCCTTTAAAGTTAAAACAGCCTTCCACGCGACCAGCCACTGAGTCCAAAGAGCACGCCGCCACAGCACAGATTCCTTTGCTTTACACTTCTGTGCAAGACAGGAGCCTCCTCCGGTGCAGAGCAGCTGGCCAGCTAAGAGGCCCCAAATTCCTCTAGATGAGAGTCTCATAAAAAGGAGCCGTTCTGGATTTGCTTTCCGGGGGTGGGCCGGGCCGTGTACCACGTGCTGGGGTTTGCCAGCCTAAATTCTTTGCTCTCCCTTTCGGCTCCAGGAGGCACATTTTTGGGCAGAGTGCACAATGTTCTGCCTAGGCTGGCACCTATGTTAAGAGTTGGACGGGCTGGTTTCTCAAGGAGAAGGCCTCTGCCTAGGAGAGGCAGTTTGATCTAGTGGTTAAGTGCGCGGACTCTTATCTGGGAGAACTGGGTTTGATTCCCCACTCCTCCACTTGCAGCACCTGCTGGATGACCTTGGGCAAGCCATAGTTCTGGCACAGCTGTCCTTGAAAAAGAGCAGTTTCTGTCAAAGCTCTCTTAGCCCAGCCTCCCTCACAGGGTGTCTGTTGTGGGGAGGAGGAGGAGATTGTAAGCCGCTCTGAGACTCCGATTGAAGGGCGGGGGTATAAATCCAATCTCTTCTCCTTGAAAGTCAACGTGCCCAATCTCACCCATGGCAGGGGATGACCAAGCCCGACTTGGTCACAATGTTCTTATCTGGCTTGGGAGCACATCTGAGACGCCTCTGTCGGAAGGGTGCCATGGAGAGAGTCTGGGCGGGTGGGCG